GGGTGCCTGGCCAGCCTGGATGAGGGGATGATGGCTGTTTGCAGCTGGTCACACCCCCTTCAGGGTGGGGGTCCCCACTGGGGTGTCTGGCCAGTCTGGGTGAGGGGCTGAGGGCCGTTTTCAGGCTGGTGGGCGACTGAAGCTTCCAACCTGTCCTTTTTTTCTTTTATTCTGGGATTTATTTACCTTCTATGGCTGTCACTGGAGCTGAAAGCTGGCTTTAGCTCTGAGGCCAGCTCCAGCTTGAGGCCTCAGCTGCTGAAAGCAGGTATCTGGTTTGTTTGGGTTCTATAATTGTAACACTGTTTCGGTCCTGCTCGCTCCAGCTCTGACGGCTGAAAGCAGGTATCTGGGTTTGTTTTTTTTTTTTGCTTCTATAATTGCAACAATGTTTCTTAAACTGCAGTTCAGAGCCCAGAAGTGGAAGGCGGGGAATCTTGGCTTCCTCCATCATGGAGCAAGCAAGCCTCCTGTTCGCTTCACTGCCTGGCTGCAGGCCGCCATCTTGGTTGGCAGTTCATTTGCATTTCGCCCTGATTAGCCAATGGGAAGGGTAGAAAGTTACGGCTAATTACCATGTTTCTCTTTTATTAGATAGGACTAGAAACCCAGTGCCTGAGATTATCCGCCCGCTCCCCACTGCGCTCACAGCCCCACCCACCCACGTGAGCCTTGCCACGTTCACAGCCTCGCCCACCCATGCCGGTCTTTGGTCGTTATGGCGTTGGGGCCACAGGCCTTTTATAATATAGATAGACATAATAAAGGACAGAATAAAACTAAGGAATGTAATAAGAGATAACAAAGCTCTGGTAAATATGAACTTTATGCACACTCCAAGTTAGAGTAAAAAAAAGAGGGAGAAAATTCAAATTCACAATCCATCTGCCTTTCACTACAGTTTTCTGTAAGTTCTATTGAATAGTATGGTGACAATGGTTAACATTCGGCTTTTGTACTATTAACAGTTCTTACCATCTATGTCACTAGATTTTGAGGAGAGATATTTTTCTATGCTATATAAATGACAGAAAGAATTGTTGGTGGTATTCTACAGGGGTAATAAATGGCCCATTGTCTAAAATATCTCTCTCACCAACACAATCAAAACTAAATGCTTCCACAGTAGTCATTATGTTTAGCCTCATAGAAATGCATAAAGAAGACAAAGAACTTAAAGGCACACTTGCTTACTTTACAGCTTTAACTAGGCCTGACCTTTATAATCACACTACAAAAGGCAGCGTATTAAGTGGAAACTACACTGACACTCTCTTAGGACCAAACTGGAATTACAACTAAAATATAGAAAAACCATCCTGAATAACGTTCTGGAGAATTGAGAAGGCTCAGGAAGTTTAAAGCTGGTGTACAGTAAGCATAGAAATGAATATTCTCAAGGGAAGGGAACATAGGGGAAGTGTGAGACAAATAAAGATTTTTTTTACAAACCAAGAGTGAATGGGATGAGGGATGCAGGTACAGAGATTGTTAGCTTTAGGTGAGATAGGTGTTTCCACTTTATTTGATTCTCTGGGCTGATGTGAAAATAATAACTGTAGACAACATGGATTGAGTCCTTACTATGTGTAAAGCATTGTACTGAGCACATGACATATATGATATCATTAAATCCTCCATTTAACCTGATTGATTAAATAGTGCTATTATTATCCCCATTTATAGGGAAAAAAAACACACCTTATAAACAGTGAAAGGGAAAATGAATTAACATAGGTCTCTGGTAAGTGTTAGAATTAAGGGTTGAACTCATGAGTTTGGATTTAGAACAAGTACCCCAAACTGCTACATTTAGGATGAAAATTAATGTTGAATTTAAAACAAGGAAAAGTAGGTGTGGCCATAATAACAAGCATCTTGAGGGAACGAGTATTATTTTTAATAAAATGTCACTAAAGAAGTATGTCTTGTTTTAGTACCAACTATTTCAAATACTGCATTTTATAAAGTAAGCACTTTTAAAAATCCAGTGAGTAATTTAGCATAACTTCATAATTTATATTATTTCATTTGATTTTTAAAGCAAACTATATAAAATATAGAAAGTGATATTGGCTTTTTTTTTTTAACATAGGAGAAAAATTAAGGAGGATAGAGGGAGAAGTTAACTTTGTCAAAGTTACCTGTTAGATGTGACAGAGCTGGAGCTCAAAGATAGGCCTGTCCTTTAACCCCAAACTCAGTGTTCTTTCCACCTTGCTCGCTGGTCTTCTACCAAGTGCTCCATTCTTTCTGAAAATAACAGAATATGCACATTCATAGCATTTGATAAAGTCTTCTGATTTTCTCTAATTAGTCCTGAAGGAAGCATAATATTGGAGTCAGAGAATTCAACCCTCCAAGAAATACACCTCCACACTGGACCAACTGCCTGACTTCCCCATTCCCTGCACATGTCCACTTACCTTATTGAACTCAGAAATACTGGTTATATGTTCATAGAGAATGCTTCAGACTTGTTTCTCTATAACTTTTGAGAACCAGTTCCCCGAGGCAGTAAAGAAGCCCTTGTATAGATCTTTCATCGTTCCATCCAAAATATAAAGTATTATTGGGGAGGGGCAGGAGTGGGCGATAAGGAGTCAATGGGAAAAAAGAGGGATCATATGTAATACTTTCAACAATAAAGATTTTTTTTAAATAAAGTAACTCTGAAATTGAGCATCACTGGGGCTGGAAAGACATAATTTATCTCATGCTCCCATGAGTCACATATTTTAACAAAGCGCAACTTGTAATCTTTTGTCTAAATGTAGTAAAATCTTTTCTTCAGTATTATTCTTGTTCTTGCTTAGGTTATTAGCAATGAATTCAGTTACAATTAAAAATAACATTTTAGCTCCCATTCTTCAAGTAGGCACTTTGCAAATTATTTTTGTTTACTTCAGTCAAGCACTGTGTGTTTGGATTTTGCTCCAAACAAAATAAATTATTTATTAGGTACAAAATACAGAAAAATGAAATTTATTGTCTTTGTTCTTAGTTGCTTTCTTTTCCCTAAAATTAATGAAATAATTTAACATTATAAACTACCATACTTCATTTGGGGAAAGCAGTCCTAAAGAGTTTGTTTAATTAGGACTTGATTCTTGGCCAACAATATAGAAAAGTGAACATCCATACGCAGGTGTGACTTGGTGTCTTGTCCAAAGGTTTGTTATGCTGACAGTGCAATTCTCCAGACTCGTTCACTTCCCAGGAGCTGGCCTATGAAACTCTAGCAGCATTCTATTTAAACAGCTGATTGGAGCCCCAAACTATCCATGCCCTCATAGCATAACACCCAAGATAATAAAATAACCTAGGTAGAGTGGAATTTGAGAAAAGCTTATAAAATCTGAAATTATCTCCGTGTATCTAGAGCCAGCTGTGAGGAGAAAACAAGGTGTGTGTGTGTGTTAGTAACTTGAGTGTGTGCAGGAAGATGAGCCATTTCACTACTGCAAGGCAAGAGATATTCCTATCCCCAAATAGCTCCTTTCACTTAAGCAGCAAAGTCATACCAACTGAAAGGCCTCTTCTAGATTCATTTGGCTTAGCATGTCAGTTTTTTTAAATACAAATATCCTGGAGCAATGAAGGGGTTAATATTGTAGTTGGAAAAGTATTTCATTCAAATTGCTTCTTTTGTAACACTGAATAAAAGTAAACCACGCAGAGAACAGTTAAAGACCAGACATCTGAGGATCTTAGAAGTCAAGCAGCCTTGGTATTGGACGTGTTAGGCAACCACCCCACTTATGCAGGAGTGAAAAATACTGCTTAAGGAAAGTAGTCAGTAAGAGGTGTGGGATAGGGATTAGAACACTACAGAATAATAGCGAAGCATAATCTCAGACCCATGAGTCAGTGGAATTTCCCTGCTTGGCTACCAACTTACTACATAATCTTGGAAAATTCACTTTATGTCCTTATTTTCAGTTTTATCACTTCTCAAATGAGAGTTTTAATTGAACAATATATATATATATTTTGTTAATCCTCACTGGAGGATATTTTTCCATGCATTTTTAGAGAGAGAGGAAGAGATGGAAGGAGAGAGAGAGAGAGAGAGAGAGAGAGAGAGAGAGAGAGAAAACATCGATGTGAGAGAGACACATCCATTGGTTGCCTCCTGTATGTGTCCTGACCAGGGCAGGGCTTGAACCTGCAACCCAGGTATATGCCCTTGATTGGGAATCAAACCTGCAACCCTTTTGTGCTTGGGCCAATGCTCTAACCACTGAGAAGGTTTGTACATATACAGTAATTTTTAATTGAGATGGAATTGACAAATAACATTATATTAGTTTTAGATGTATAACAAGATTTGACATTATGTCTATGTTGCAAAATGATTATCACAATAGGTCTAGTTAACATCCACCACCACACATAATTACAATATGTTTTTTCTTATGATGAGAACTTTACAGATTTGAGCAACTTCCATATATGCAATACAATATTATAGTCACCATGCTGGCCACAATGAGACATTATCTCATACCTGTTAGAAAGTCTATTAGATATTTTTAAAAAGACAAGAAATAACAAGTGTTGGCAAGGATGTGGAGAAAGATTAGATTGTTTAGGTTCCTTCTAGCCCAGATTGAAAAGTGAAGCAATCATCAGAGTCGAATCAGAGAAACACTTAAAATTAGAACATACCTCAGCAATCACTTCACCTCCTGTCCAATTCAGGAGTTCTTCTCTAACATCACTGATGAAATAACCTGCAGCTGAAGACTAACCCTGAGAAGAAGTGCTCCATCATATCAGCAGCTTCTTCTAAGAAACAGGTGGGAGAGCTCTCTGGTTGACATGCAGTTGGAACTCTGGAGTCCTACCCATCATCTCAGTGGGGCTCCCTGCTCATTAGCTGAGTGACCTTGGGAAGGTTAACCTCTGCAGCCACAATTTTTATCATTTGTTTAAAAATATAACATCATTACTATTATTAGTATTATGATTATTGACAGAGACTCTCCCCTGACCAAGCTTTAGTTAGGCGTCTTTTAGACGTCTTCTCAACTAGGTCTCCTTGTCTGTCGTTGACAAGCCCAGCTTGAGCAAGAATCCTAAGTCAGTTTAGCAATTATCACCACCCTTGATATCTGATCACCCCTGGATAGCTGATCAGATTCCTCATTCCCACCCTTGATATCTAATCACTATGGCCTGCCTTCAGTAAGCATGCCGCTAAATCAGGTTAGTTAGTAAGAATCCCCAAATTTTGATGTCTCCTCCTACTAATTTTCCATTCATTGATCCCCTTACTCTGTTCACGGGCTATCAATCCCCCGCCATCTTTGTTGTATTTGGAGTTAAGCCCAACCTCTCTCCTCTATTACAATTCTTGAATAAAGTCTCCCTTACCATTTTTATGTGTCAGAATAAGTTTTAACGTTTTCTCTAACTATTAGAAAGTTGTCCTTCATCTTGAGCAGACAACCTACCTGTTATCACTTCCTCCCTCTGGCCCTAGCACTTTTCCCTTTTTGGAGACATGAATAACATTTCTATTTCTTCTTTCACATGAAAATCTTTCAAATGCATGAAGAAAAAGATCACACATATCAAATCTTCTTTATTTCAGGTTAAATATGTCCATTTTCTTCAGAGTTCCAGCTCATTACCATTTTGGTCCCTCTTCTCTGAACATGTTTGAATATGTCACAGTGGCAGTTACAATACTTCAAAAGTGATCATATGATCCTTGAGCACAGTGACACCATTATCTTTCTTGGTCTAGGCCCTACCGTTCTATGAAGTTGACCTAAGATGCAGCCCACAGGTGCATTAATTTTTGGCAGCTGCACCACACTTTGGCACACAGATACTGAGATGAATCTGAGTTTTCTCTAACCTTGAATTTTTGCTCTTCATTTTTTGAAACTAAGTGCAGGATTTAATAATAGAATGGGACTGTTCAGGATAGGCTTCCAGTAAAAGGCATTTACAGTCATCTCATCAAATGATGATGGACATGCATCTTGTGAACTGAGGCTTGAAAGACAGGATGGGCACTCCAGTGAAGAAGAGTGACTGTTTTCTAATGGTGGGACTGAAGAAAGACATGAGGATAGGAATTAGCATGTGGCATGTGAGAGAGGAGGAAGCAAAGCAGTGTGTAATGATATATCACAGAGTAGCTGAGGTATTACTTGGTTTGGGAAGTGTTCCTTGCCAGCTTCCCTTCAATAATAGGGGATTTGTCTCCAAAGCACCTTAGACCACAATTATACAAGTTTCCAAACTGTATTGCTTTGACATGTATTATACTACTTATTTTTCTGGAACATGAAAACAATCTGTTGAGAAAATATTGAAAGTGTAGAAAAGCACATTTGATTTGAATTATATATAGACTAGAGGCCTGGTGCACAAAATTCGTGCATGGGTAGGTTCCCTAGGCCTGGCCGGTGATCAGGGCCAAGCCTCCCCGCCTCCTCCTTTCCTTACTCCCTCAGCACCCTGCCGCCTGCCACTGATGGCTCATCATGTTCCGTGCTGCCCCCTGGTGGTCAGCACACAACATAGTGAGCGATCGAACTCTCAGTCTCCTGGTCGAACTCCCAAGGAGTCAATTTGCATATTAGCCTTTTATTATACAGGATATGTATTTCTGTAACAGAATTACATATATATACACACACAAATATATTTGTTACGATATAGATATAGTTATAGATGTTGATATATAATAAGAAATTTCCCTTCTTCCCTACTGATCCCACTTCCCAGAGACAATCATTGCAATTCACTTGTCTAGGTCCATTCTTCTTTTAGGCTGTACTTCCTTGATTATGTAAAGTAGGCTATGCTCAAGGTTGTTAAATCCTTGATAAAAGATGAGGTCTGTGTGAAGATAAACTCCTCTATGTATTAACTCCTATCCGGTAACATTTCAATACACAGTCAGTTTTACATATTATATAGAAATAATACATGGGAGTGTGAGAGAGAATTCCACCCCATAGCACAATTACTAGATAAGTGAGAAGAATATATTTTTGTCTGGAAAAAACTTGGCAGAAGCTAAGCAATATTGATGCCATAAAGACTTTTAAAAATTATTATAGGAAATAAGCTTAAGTTGCACCCTGATGGAGGAACTTCACCCAAAGACACAGTATTGTCAGCCTTTTGTGCCTCTCAGCAGCAAGCAACAGCAATAAAAATGAACATTGGATTTAACAAAAGCAACAAACATTGTCACATAGGGTAGACAGAACAAAAGTAACCAGGAA